GATGGTAACACCAAGGGACAGTACCACCCTATATGACTAAGGTAGTGGCTGAGTGACAGGCAACAGAGGGTTGTAGTCAATGGATTATATTCGAAGCTTGGGCTTGTCAGGGTACGTCAGGGTGCGTCAGGGATCTGTACTTGGACCCATTCTCTTTAACCCCTTAAGGACACATGACATGTGTGACATGTCATGATTCCCTTTTATTCCAGAAGTTTGGTCCTTAAGGGGTTAATGTTTTTATTAGTGATATTGCAGAAGGTCTTGATGGTAAGGTATGTCTTTTTGCTAATGATACTAAGATGTGTAACAGGGTTGATGTTCCAGGAGGGATAAGCCAAATGGCAAATGATTTAGGTAGACTAGAAAAATGGTCAGAGTTGTGGAAACTGACATTTAATGTGGATAAGTGCAAGATAATGCATCTTTGACATAAAAACCCAAGGGCAGAGTACAGAATATTTGCTAGAGTCCTAACCTCAACATCTGAGAAAAGGGATTTAGAGGTGATTATTTCTGATGACTTAAAGGAAGGCAGACAATGTAATAGAGCAGCAGGAAATGCTAACAGAATGCTTGCTTTTATAGGGAGAGGTATTAGCAGTAGAAAGAGAGAAGTGCTCATGCCATTGTACAGAACACTGGTGAGACCTCACTTGGAGTATTGTACGCAGTACTGGAGACCGTATCTTCAGAAGGATATTGATACTTTAGAGAGAGTTCAGAGAAGGGCTACTAAACTGGTTCATGGATTGCAGGATAAAACTTACCAGGAAAGGTTAAAGGATCTCAACATGTATAGCTTGGAGGAAAGACGAGACAGGGGGGATATGATAGAAACATTTAAATACATAAAGGGAATCAACACAGTAAAGGAGGAGACTATATTTAAAAGAAGAAAAACTACCACAACAAGAGGACATAGTCTTAAATTAGAGGGACAAAGGTTTAAAAATAATATCAGGAAGTATTACTTTACTGAGAGGGTAGTGGATGCATGGAATAGCCTTCCAGCTGAAGTGGTAGAGGTTAACACAGTAAAGGAGTTTAAACATGCGTGGGATAGGCATAAGGCTATCCTAACTATAAGATGAGGCTAGGGACTAAGGAAGGTATTTAGAAAGTCACATTCTATGTTTCTATTACATTCATAGTATTATATTTGTATATTATGATTCTCTCCAGAGCCACAATTACCGCTCTGAAAAATGTGAGTGGGAAATTGTATTAATATTTTGAAGAGACACACTGTTGGTTTTGTCTCCTTCACATCTCTCCTGCATTTCTAATAAGGGAAGAATGAATGCAAGCTAGGGATGATGGTTGTTTCCTTTAAGGGCACTAAAGTATATGTCAAGAGCCAAGTTTGAGATCTCTTAATATTGTGAGTGACCATCATAAGTAAAAATGTAATTAGACTGTAATTTTGAACTGTACCATTGTTTGGTATTTTGTATTTTACTCAGTTATTCCAAAATGTAATGTCCCCTACCTCAAACATCTAGTTATATATATTTCTGCCTTGCTTGTCGTTGTAAATTCACTTGTTCTTGTGTGTTCACAACTCTAACCATCGTATAATGTACATTTTATTTTACATAAACGATTTAGATTTTCCCCTGAACTAGAAAGATCATCTCAACATATCTATTTTGGTTAAAATTGTAATAAACTCAGTTCACAGCAACTCACTATTTATTGCAGAAAACTCTATAGTAAATCTGCCCTGGATTTAATAATAATAAAGAATTGAAAAATATATGTTTGGTGCTTTCACTTAACAATTTGAAAGGTTACTTCTCTGACTGTCTTATAAAATTGGTGAGTTTTACACCCTACTTCTCCGGTAATGACTTGTTAACTAATGAATAATCCAATATAGAAAAATGGTTATAAAAGTAACACCTGGACACAGGCACAAAAAAAATAAAATAAAAAAAGACGGAAACAAAGAGGCCAGTAACAAAAGTTATGATTTATGGCTATCAGGAACTGCGGCAACAAGTTACACACATCTCATACTCCGTAACTCCGCCCTAAGTCAACAATTTGGTCAAACAGAAGGAGACAAGAGCAGCCTTTAGCACAGGCTGGTACTGTACACCTTGCTCTGCTCACATGTGCTATAGAAATTAAACAGCATGATTGCTGTGTCCCGATGGCAATCTGATAACCACTCAAGTCACTTAAAGGTGTATTGTTTCCCTTACCTGCGGACTGGCCAATACACGATAAGAGTCTTTGCTTTTTATAGGCTTCTATTTGACTATGTGCTAGTTTCATTTTAATTACTAATAGAAGAGATGTTGACATGCTTGTTGAATCGGTCACTAGTTGTAAGGTACAGCGCAGAGGAAAGAGAAAATAATTATTAATGTTTGACAGCCATTACTCTGCAAATTTGACCCTGAGTTGGAATGTTACAATTAGACGATAGGAATATAATGGCACATTTTTATGTCCAACTCATGCGAAGTAAAATAAATAAGAAATAATATGTCTAAATATATAAATGAATAATTCTAAAAAAATTTAAATATGTATATATATATATATATTTTATTTTTTTTGTCCATCCAATCATTTCTCTACAATACACAATGCTTAGCATTTCTTGGCAAGCATCAGTCTAGGTAGGGAGGTGCGGGTAGGCCTTCTGACAATGCATTGAGGTATATTTGAGTATTCATGTTTCTGACTCCCCACCATTTAAAAAATGTATTTCACCTATGCCATAATTCACCCTGTTGTCATAATTAACCTCCCCTTTGTATAATGCATCATTTGAGGCCCTCCTTCACTTCCCTAACATTTCCTCCTGTGAGTGAAGGTCTCAGTTCTTTAATGTACACATCAAAATATGTACCTTGCCAGAGTCTGAACTTTTGCATACATACATACATATATATATGTGCCATACACTCACTTCTCTTACTGACATGCTGGCCCAGGTGCTTAAACTCTAACCAATAAATAGATTTGAATGAAAGAGCGAACTGATGGAACTTAGTATAATGATCTGCTTTTATATCAGCAGTTAGATGTAAAATATACAGCATCAACGTTTCAATCCTTTAACTGAATCATTATGTAAGTCATCAGAAAAAAAGTACACACAAAAAAACTGTATAAACACACTATATCCACAATGAAACACAGCAAGCAGACACTGCAGCTAATGAAGTATTACGTGAGTCATGTCATGTATACACGTGGATCAAAAAGTACCTCATTCATAGATTTGCATATGGCATTGAATGCAGATGGAGTGAAAAAAATGTAAATAACTTTGTCTATTGCAGTGTCGTCCATAAAGTTCACATTCAGGTAGGTATATGTATTGTGCATGTGAAATCGCTGGCCTACATACGTGATGATCACTTCCTTCACACCTGGCATGGACTGGAGGAGTGGTTGAAGTGGCTTTATGTGCCGTGTGCCTGATCTACCTGATGACATTCCTACTGTGCATTCAGCAAACCTGTGAGAAACTTAGTGATGAATGTGTGTTTGTGTGAGCAATGTCAGAATGTGTATATATCAGTATTTCTGTTTGTGTGGGATGTCAGTATGTGCACACAGCATCGCACAGAACACTGACAGCTCTGCCACGTTACAGGGATTCCCATGGGTGGTTGGAGGGGTGGAGATATGTAAGTGACCGGACCACATCCTGCTTGTGGGTCAGTTGTTGAATTCTCTGAACTCTGCATTCAGCTTATCACTGCATAGCTGGCTTGTTTTCTGTTCAGCTTTATTGACCTTAAAGGGAACCAAAAAAAGTAATTATTATTTTAGGATTATAGTTTCCCTACTGTCCAATCAACTTTGGCATTAAAAAAATATACCGGTAGGTAAATAATTGTTACTCACCTGCATTCCAACCCCCTGACTCCACCGCTGCAGCCTTCAGTTCCTCCTCTGCTGATGTTATCATCCAAGCTGACATCATCCAAGATCTCCTCCAATCCATTGCTTCTCATAGACAAGTAATGAATTGGAACTAGGACTGTGCGTCCAAACATTGCACACCTCCAAATGTTGCTATCAGCAGCAATTATTTTTAAGACCGAATTTCACTGGGTTCTGGAGGCAGAAGCATCTCTAGTGCCTATCAGAAAGACAGCCACTTGACGTGGGTTTAACCCTGCAATGTAAGCATAGCAGTTTAAAAAGGATTAAAATGACGAACCATTGCACCCAGACCACTTCATTTAGATGATTTAGTGGTCATTTAAATGAGAAATTCCCTTTGAATTCTCGCTTTAGTGAATATCCACATCAGTGTGTAATCAAACTATGCATAATAAAAGATGGGATATATTCAAACATATTTAAGTTTATTAAATAGCATTGCAAGACTGCTGCAAATTTGGTAGTAGTTCTTAGAGGCAAAGCTAGGAAATAATATTTAACTCCACAAATATGGAGGATGCCTGTAACGTTTATAAGTATGCATTCTAAGAATACATTTAAGGAGAACTGGAGACACAAGGTTATCTTAAGTAGCAAATGAATGAACAAAATGACTAAAGTCTGAGCTTTTTTAAACAGAGGGCAAGCAGACTAACTGAGTCCATTTCTTTTGTTATCTTTCTAAATAAATAAATACTATTTCAGAATAGGAAAGAAGGAAAGTATTTTGATGTCTGATTCACTGGAGTCATTTACTGCAGCTTGTTACTTTCTAGGTTCCATTTGTGTGCCCTTGTCACTGTAGTATTTGTTGTTTGTAACTGTCATTGTGTCCCTATCTTGACCTGTCTTCTGCCATGTTTGACTGCTGACATTAGTGCATTTCTCCGTAGGTATTTGTTTTATCTTTCTGTGGATACTTTTCAATCAAATGACCTGTCCTTTTTGTATCACACAGCAGGCATCTACATTCTGTACACAATGTCTGTTACTGGAGGACATCCTAGACCTAGAATATTGTTTCGCAACTTTTCTAACTGAAGGATAGAGGCTTGTTTTGTTTTGTTTTGTTTTTAACTAAACAGTGCCCACATTCATTCAGCTATTAACTCCTAATGGCATGATGTCCTACCAAATCTTCTTCATTTCTGGATTTCAACATGAATTAAAATTCTGCAGAAACATTTCATGGGGAACCCATACGACATGTTGAGAAACTGGTTTAGAAAACCCACCACAAGCCTACTTAGGGAGACACGAGACTGTGAAATATGCACAACTATCAGAATACACACTCTGCCCTTTTTTCCCGGTCTATTCTATTAGTTTATACTATGGTAACCTCAGGTAATCAGTTAACTAAGCTAAGAATAGGATGTCTTATCTGGTAACGATGACCCTTGCACTACTACGGCTGGAGGTATAAAGTGCTGCATGGCATTTTGAAAGCAGCTTATGATAGGTCACCAACGGTGATCTTGGATACTGTGTCTTGAAGACTCCAGTAACAATAATATGGAGCTGTGTTTTCCAACTGCTGGTCTGTTAGACTTATACCATCTCAGATCGGTTTCTATTTGTCTAAAAGGGACCCCAGAGTACGTTCATTTTTAATATATGACCAAGAGCTGCCTTTTATTGCATCCTCGCTCACATTGTGTATTTACTAATGGAGGATTACTAGGCATGTGCATGGGAAAAAAATTTCGGTTCGGCATTCTGAAATTTGGGACTTCGGCAATTCGGCACTTCGGCAATTCGGCACTTCGGAACTTCGGCAACTTCGGTAACTTCAGCACTTCGACACTTCGGAACTTCGGCACTTCAACACTTCAGAAATTCAGCAACTTCGGCACTTTGGCACTTCGGAACTTTGGGACTTCGGAACTTTGGGACTTCGGAATTTCGGAGCTTCTCTTGCAGCCGCTTGATAGATAACTCCCTAATTCCCACGGTATTAGGGAGTTATCTACCAAAAGGCTGAAAGACCTAAATTGGTCTTTCAGACAAATTTACTAATACTAAGTAAAGATTACTTAGTATTAGTAAATTATACCCCTACTCGCTATACCGCGAGTAGGGGCATGTCTAGTAAACAGTGAGCAGCCTGTTGATGCTCACTGTTAAAAAAAAAATTGGGTGGGTGGGGGCCCTAAACACTAACTAGGGGGGACCTAATGTCCTCCCCCCTGGCCCCCACCCCTGAGCGGTGGGTGGGGCCCCAAAATTAGAATGAGGGGGCCCTAATGTCCTCCCCCCTGGCCCCCACCCCTGAGCGGTGGTTGGGGGCCCTAAATTAGAATGAGGGGGGCCTAATGTCCTCCCCCTGACCACCCAACCCTGAGCGGTGGGTGGGGGCCCTAAATAATAATTAGGGGAGACCTAATGTCCTCCCCCCTGGCCCCCACCCCTGAGCGGTGGGTGGGGGCCCTAAATACTAATTGGGGGGGACCTAATGTCCTTCCCCCTGGCCCCCACCCCTGAGCGGTGGGTGGGGGCCCTAAATACTAATTAGGGGGGACCTAATGTCCCCCCCGACCCCCACCCCTGAGCGGTGGGTGGGACCCCTAAATTAGAATGAGGGGGGAACCTAATGAGCGGCGGTTGGGGGCCCTAAATTAGAATGAGGGGGGCCTAATGTCCTCCCCCTAGCCCCCCACCCCTGAGCAGTGGGTGGGGGCCCTAAATACTAATTGGGGGGGACCTAATGTCCTCCTCCTGGCCCCCACCCCTGAATCGTGGGTGGGGGCCCTAAATTAGAATGGGGGGGACCTAATGTCCTCCCACCGGACCCCACCCCTGAGAGGTGGTTGGGGGCCCTAAATACTAATTAGGGGGGACCTAATGTCCTCCCCCCTGGCCCCCACCCCTGAGCGGTGGGTGGGGGCCCTAAATAAAAAATTAACCCCCCTCCCCCAGATGACTAGGGGCCCACAAAACCCCTAGTCACCCCCTCCCCCAAAAAATTAACCCCTACCTACCCCCCTCACCCTAAAAATAATGAGGGGGGACCATTTAACTAAGTACCTGTAAAAAAATAAAATAAAATAAAACTTACCATTTGATGTTTTCTTTCTTCTAAAATCTTATTTTTTAAGCCCCAAAAAAGGCCAAATAAAAAGTTATAATAACTGACGCACTTTAAAAAAAAAAAAAAAACGAGCGCAAATAAAACCAATCCATCTTCACCCATGGCAGGCTCCGCGCAGACTGAGGTTTGCATGGCGGGGCAAGGCTTATAAAGCCTTGCCCCGCCCTGCAATTAGGCACTCTGATTGGTGGGTTTAATCCATCTAATCAGAGTGCTCTGACAGGTAAATGAAGAGACTGACAAGTAAGTCTCTATATTTACCTGTCAAAGTACTCTGATTGGTTAGCTTGAAATCCACCAATCAGAGTGCTCTGTGTAATTGTACACAGCGTGGGAAAGTTCTTTGGAATTTAAATGGTCCCCCCTCATTATTTTTAGGGTGAGGGGGGTAGGTAGGGGTTATTTTTTTTTTGGGAGGGGGGTGACTAGGCGTTTGGGGACCCCTAGTCACCTGGGGGAGTGGGGGTTAATTTTTTATTTAGGGTCCCCACCCGCCGCTCAGGGGTGGAGGCCAGGGGGGAGGACATTAGGTCCCCCCTCATTCTAATTTAGGGCCCCCACCCACCGCTCAGGGGTGGGGGCCAGGTGGGAGGACATTAGGTCCCCCCTCTAATTAGTATTTAGGGCCCCCACCCACCGCTCAGGGGTAGGGGCCAGGGGGGAGGACATTAGGTCCCCCCATTATTTTACTTTAGGGCCCCCACCCGCCGCTCAGGGGTGGGTAGCTCCCTAATATCGTGGGAATTAGGGAGTTATCTACTTATTCATTCCTGTCATTCCATTGACAGGCTAAGTAACTTACAGTTGATATGAATGTGTGTTACTTGATTGTTGTAAGTGTTGCAAATGCTTACAGCTGAATCCTGGCTATGTTTGTATACTTTTTATTTAAACTTGTATACAGTGTAACATTCTTCTTCTTCCACTGGGTAAGTATATTAGTACTTAGGCAATACTGTGCTTCGTCACTTCGGCACTTCGGCACTTCGACACTTCGGAAATTCGGTAATTTCGTATCTTCGGAACCTCGGCAATTCAGCACTTCGGCTATTCAGACATTCGGAAATACCTGAATGTCCGAATTGCCCGAAATTCATCCAAATTCATATTCGGACCGAAACGAATTGCACATGTATAAGGATTACTGTGTCTGCTTTAAGGGGTATTGGGTATGTTATGTTACACATAATATGGGTATAATCACAGTAACTGAAAAATAATTATAACAAATGTATATTAAATCAAGACAATGAAAACAACACTTGATGTTAGATTTGGGTCAATATGAAAATAGTAATCCAAAAACAACAAACACAAGAAGAAGAATGTCACATCAGCAAAACTGTATATAATACAGATGTTCCTCACTTTGCAACCTACTACTCACACTTACAACCAGCTCTCTAGCGTGGGGATGCAAAGGATTCCCCACGTTAAAGAGCTGGTCTATGTTCGGGGAATTTTCCCCGAACATAGATTTGAGGGATTCCCTGCTCTGATGCGTATGTCTACGTTCAAGGAAATTTCCCCTGAACATAGACCTGCACTTCTGCGCATGCACCTCACTTACCGACCAATTCGTGTTACGACTGGGTCGTAAGAACGGAACTCAGTAGGTAAGCGAGGAGCATCTGTATCACATTGTGAACAACTATCTCATATGGCCAAGTCTACATAAGAGAAAACGTAGATAATTTCTGGACCCTCTACAGTCTTCTTCAACTGCTTGCTTCTATTCTCTTTGCAAGCATTACAAATGGAGAAGAGAAATAGAAACATTGTTTAATTTCTCCTCTTTTCTGTATGTTTTCTCTATGCTGACCACCAGGTTCAAAGAACAGAACTTATTATAATAATTGACAGGGAGCTAAAATTGAGGCACACAGTTGCAAGAAAAAGGGGTGTGCTTTTCTACATTTAATGTAATTTTTTACACCTCACAAATACATATTTGTTAAATATAGGGATAAGTAAAAGTATTATTAAAAACCTGGCAAGTAACAGTTCCACTTTAAAGAAAAGTGATAAAATGTTTTATTTCATTAAAAAAATAGCAATACTATTTTTTATAAACCCAGAAAACATGTTTGTTAAGTATGATTTCATGCACAAAGAAAGCTATGTGTAATCAAACAGGGGAAAAAAAGGAAAAGGTTGTTTTAAATGACACCAATAATGTGTAATTGATATTTAGAAGGAAGCTATTAAGAACAACCAAAACATATGCACAAATCATCCAAAAAAGCAGCTTTCATTCAGAATAAAGCATAAATAACTCGTAATCCATGGTATATCAGGGGTTTTCCTTACTCGAAATGGCTAAACAATGGCCTCTTCTACAAATGAAATAAGAACCAGTTTTCCTGTTAATTTGTTCAATTGATTCACTCATTTGTTTTACGTTCCAGTTCAGTACCAATAGCTCTTTGCCTCGTGTTCTCAAGGCTGCTCTATAATTCCGAGCATTATTAATCTTTAAAGAAGTGTATCTGCTACGAAGCAGCAATTTCCCAAGGTTTGCGTTCGTTAATTTTGTTAATAATCATATTTTTCTGTGCTCTCCAAAACCTTGGGCACAAACAATCTACCGCTGGAAAATTTAATGGGAGAAACACAAGGCCATACATCTGCTGCTCCCTTATCTATGATGTCACCAACGCCAAGGACCTTCTGTTCATTAAAACAGTTGAATCACAGAAATGATTAAAAAAAAGCACTTCTTTGCAATTTTTTTTTAATGTAGACATAATATTACTGGTAATGCCAGTATCTCACATGAAAAGTGTTAATTTGTGGATCACTTTTCTTTTATTTTAACTTTCAGTTTATTGCAACCATTAGGTTCCCCCCAAATTATTTTGTGTACATTATGATTTCAGCATTAGACAAATCATTTTCCGGTTTTGTGATCATCAAAAAATGTTGTATTATTGTCTGTGTGCTTAAAAGGGACACTTTAAGGATCTAAACAACTTTATCTTAATGAAGTTGTTTTAATGTATAGATCTACCAAAGCCGGTGCAAGGATTTTAGGCACCCTAGGACAAACAAACCACAATGCCCCACCTATATGATCTGTCATATGAGCCAACACCAGTGCTGCACACAGTGTTTTTTCTCTGACAAAAAGCCTGCAGGAACAGGCTATAGACACCAGAACCACTACATTAAGCTGTAGAGGGTTCTGGTGACTGCAGTGTCC